AGTGTAAAACTAGATCATTACCTTACACCCTATACAAAAATTAACTCAAAATATGGTTAAAGACTTGAACGTAAGACTTGAAGCCATAACAATCCTAGAAGAAACCATAGGTTATATGCTCCTTGAGATACCTCTTGGAGATGATTTTTTGAATCTAATACCAAAAAAAAAAAAAAGCAACAAAAGCAAGAATAAATAAGTGGGACTACATTGAACTCAAATGTATTACACACACACACACAAAAAAAAAAGGAGAAAAAAAAGAAATCCTTCAACAAAATGAAAAGGAAAACTACTGAATGGGAGAAAATATTTACACATCACATATCATCTTGCTAGTAAGAAACTGACAACAAAAATATATGAAGAACTCATTCCATTCAGCAAAAGAACCCAAGCAATCCAATTAAAAAATGATCAGAGGATCCAAATAGACATTTTTCCAAAGAAGACATACAGATGGCCAACAAGTGCATGAAAAGATGCTCTACATTACAAATCATCAGGGAAATGCAAACCAAAATCACAATGAAATGTTGCCTTGAACATTTTAGGATGTATGTTTATTAAAAAGATAAGAGATAAGTTTGACAAAGGTATGGAGAAATTGAAACGCTTGTACAGTATTAATGCTATAGTCTAAATGCACCCCTTCCCCCGTTGAAATTTAGATGTTGAAATCCTAACCCAGAAAGGTGATAATATTGAGAGGTGGGACCTTTGCCCTCATGAATGGAATTAGTGCCTTATAAAGGAGGCTCCAGAAAGATTCCTCAACCCTTTACCATGTGGGGGCACTTTGAGAAGGCACAGGCTATGGACCAGAACAGGACCTTTACCAGAATATAACCTGACTGGCACCTTGATCTTGAACTTCCCAGCCTTCCTGAGTGTTAAATTCCTGTTGTTAAAGACCACCCAGTCCATGGTATGTTATAACAGCAGCTGAAAGGGCTAAGACAGTTGGTGGGAATGGGAAAATGATAAAACTATGAAAAATGGTATGAAGGTTCCTCAAAAAATTAAAAATAGAATTACCAGTGATCTAGCAATTCTGCTCCCAAGTAGATACCCAAAAGATTGGAATCAGGATCTTGAAGAGATCCGTGCACTCCCCTGTTTATTACAGCACTACTCACAGTATGAAAACAAGCCACATATCCATCAGCAGAAAGCCGATAAAGGAAATGTGATGTACACACACANGCCGATAAAGGAAATGTGATGTATACACACAATGGGCTCTCATCCAACCTTAGAAAGGCAGGAAATACTTCATCTTCCATAACCTGCCACTGGGAGACTTTACGCTAAATAGGTAAGTTCCTCACGGAAGGATACAGACTTCATGGTTCCACTTATATGAGGTATCTAATGTAGTTAAACTTCTAGAAGCAGGAAATAAACTGGTGGTTGCCAGGGGATTTGAGCAGGAGAAGAGGGAAGCTGTGGCCTAATGGCTGTAGAGTTATAGTCACACGAGGTGAAGAGTCCCAGAGACCTGCTCTTCAGCTTAGTGCTATGGGGAAGGACGTGTTGTTAGGCACTTAATTTGTCGGATGAATATGTACCTGGAAGTGGGATTCTGGATCATAGGACAGTTCGATTCTCGATCTTTTGAGGACCCCCCAGAGTGGCTGCACCAGGCTACCCTCCCACCAGCAGTGCACAGGGACTGCTTTTCCTTCACAGCCTTGCCAGCACTTGCCATCTCTTGTTTCTGTGATATTAGCCATGCTAACATGTGTGAGGCGATATCTCTTTATGCTTATTTTTCATGTTCCCAAATAACGAGATACTGAGTTTCTTTAGTGANCCTATTCCCAATAACGAGATACTTAGTTTCTTTAGTGACAAATATTTTTAGCAACTTTGACAGTCATTGCACTTATGAAAATCTTTAATCCTCTCATTAAATCGGTGTGGAACAGTACCAGGCTCAGTTTCTTTTTTTAGATAATTTTTATTGATAAAATAAGACAGGTTAGATTAGGGTAACAAGTAATTATAGCACACAACCCAAATGCAGACTGTTTAAATATCACCCTTAACATAAATGACAAACCTCTGAGTTTGTCAAACCTCTGTCATAAATCATCGCGTCACACTTACAGTGAGTAAATTGTGACTTAGAGTCTGAATATAGTGTCAGGATTATTCCGTAGTGGAGGGATTCAAGCTCAGGACTTTCATCTGCTTTTGCCACTGAGACTGTGAAGCAGACTAGTTAGTTCAGATTCAATCTTTTCCTACTTCAAACCCTGCAGAGTCTCCCACTTAACTCTGAGGTAAAGGTCTGCTGTCCGAGCATAAATGAATCAGGAAGTTTTGCAGAAATTAAACACGACAGTTTTATTCAAGGGTCTTAGGATCTGCAATTCAGAAACACTACTAGGTAACACCCAGAGTGTTTTAAAGGAAAGAGCAACGTTGAGAGTTCTTATGGTAAAAGGTACACCCTTGAGAAGAATCAGTCCTGCATTCTTGAGCCTCAAGATGGGTTCAAATAGTAACGTTCCAGAAGTCTGGTGTCTGGATCATGGATGTCAGGTGGACACATGAACATTGTTTCCTAAGTTCTTCATTCTTTCCTAAATTCTTCAGAGGTTATCTTTGGGAATTTATATCTCTCCAGGCACTGATGCACAACTGAAACTTTCAAAAGTTTAAGTCCTCAGGCCATTTACAATAAAATCTCTTCCTCGTGCTCAGCCCATTGGGTTCCAAGTAGTTTTGTCAGCTTGACTACACAGCCTCTACTTGAAGTCAGCTCAGCTATACAGCCTTGATCTAGCTTTCTTCGGTTATCCCTCAGATCACATTATTCATGATATAATTGAGGGTGTTGTCCCTGGTGGTCTCAGTTTCACCCCGAGCCTTCTTTCTCTCCTGATCTTAATATTTGGTGTTGTCTTCTAGCCCAGGTTCCAAAGCCTCTGCCCTTCATCCATCTGGGAGCTTTTTAAATATTCCTGGTAGTGGATCTATACTATAGCTTTACAAGATGTTCCCGTTGGGAGAAATTGGTTAAAGGAACACGGGAACTCTCTGTTCCAGGACTTAGAGCTTTATAGGAATCTCCATTTATCTCAAAGAAAAGGTTTCATAAATGCCAAACCTCCAGTGGAGTCTAATCGCTTCTGGTGTTGTCAGATGCTAAGGGCCTAGGTTGCATCTAATTAGTTTCCCAAACGTCTCCTCTTTCTTGCTTTGATTCTTTCCTTGCAGCTCAGTAGCTTGAAGACCTTTCACAGCTCCTCCCTGCCTTAGGGTTTCAAAGCTCTCTTTAGTACTTTATCTGCACCCCACTCTTCTGGGTCTATCAGGCAAAATCGTCCCAAACCTCCTGCTGAGGAAAGACCTACTGGGAATGGTTTTCGGGGCATCTCTCACCAGCTATTTCCAGCATCCAGGAAGGACACAGAATACCTGTGTGCCCTGTGCTATCGGGAGCCATCTGTTTTAACCCCACCAGCTCCTCACCAGCAGGCTTATAAAGGCGGGGACAGAGAAGGGGAGCCAAACAGGCCCAGTCTCCAGAGCCCTGGGCCTTGGTCTCCTCTGCCCTCTCTGTCGCAGGTGGGTCAGGTGGGGAGGGTGTGGGGTGGCCCTGGTGTGCGGCATCGCTGCGAGGAGGGCTCCAGGTCAGTCTGCCCCAAATAGTCTATATTCTGGGGAAACCCTGGGGCTCCAGTGCTCCTGTCTCCTTCAGAGTCAGGCTCTGTGGGTGGAGCCCGGGGTTGGGGTGTCAGCTCCTTCCTCAGGGTGCTGAGGGGGTCCTGGGCCTTCTGTTTGCCTGCATGTCTCCTTGACCCTGCGAGCTTGGGGGAAGCGAAAGGGAAAAAGTCCAGTATAGTTAGGAATCTAGGGCAGTGGGGCAGGTCGTCCACCCCTAAGGAGGTTTCACTGAGAAACAGGCAATTTGCCTCCTGTCCTGTTATAAACGTTTTGTTCAGGTTTCTCCTACAGATCTGATAAAATGATGTTCTCACTGNCGTTTTGTTCAGGTTTCTCCTACAGATCTGATAAAATGATGTTCTCACTGGGGATGAAGGCTGTTTTGCTCATTGCCCTGGCATTCTCTCATTATGCTGGTGAGTACATTTCTGTTCCGGATGAAGCAGTTCCCACATCGTAGAAACTGCAGGTGACAACTTCTATTGATAGAAGAGGAGCAGTTTCTTGCATTGGGTTTGTAATACTTAACCTGGAAAATAAAAGAAACATGTTGCAAGTTAGATTTTTGAAACTGCATCCCTGGATTGCTTTCTCTGTTTCCCACCTTAGAGAGATGGAGACACAGGGTGGGGTAGAAAGGGCAGTAGAGCTTGGCTCTTTGTTCGCTTATAACTAACGATTTTACGTTTTTGTTTTTTTTATGAGGTCCGATTCCATGGTTGCCAAATGCAGACTGTGGGGGGTAATCATGTCCCTTAGATCTGATGATCTTTGACAATCTGATTTGTTCTTTGCCAGATCTGAGTCCACCAAAGTCAGAGCTTTGTGTAAAGTGAGAACTCATTGGCCCCTCTCCTGGCAAGTTACCCTCCTTCAAGCACAAGGGACTGATGGCTTCCCCAGTAGGGTAGCTCGAGGTGTTCAATAGGCGCCTGGCATTAGGCCTGAGCACTATGTCCTTACGGGGGAATTAATTTCTTCATGTCAAGTGACCTATGCAAGGCCTATTGAGTGACATTAAGCAAGGCACTGTCTTCTCTGACTAGGATGTCTCATTTATAGGAAATAAATAAATACATACAAAGAACTATGGAAACTTCACAGGAGAGTTTGGTGATTATTATAGAACACATACAAATACTTTTCACTGTGTGAGAATAATTTGGAATTATGTTTCCAAATATGGCACTATTTTGTGAACTTACTGTTTTGATTCTACCACAGAAAGCTCACCTCAGGAGTTGGGGGTACTGGGTAGGCCATTTATATAGTATTTTGCTACTAAAAGATAAAGGTTCCTCCCACCAGAGACTCTGACTGCTTTCTACTCTTCTCTTTTTATATTTTCTTTTGTTTGCTGGTAATAGAAACTGGTTTTACTGCTCCTGGGAGATCTAGGGAATCGGTAAGTTAAAATTGATTATATTGGAAATTGAAAAAGACAAACTTTTACATTGTAAGTTTTAACAGCAAATTGCTAAACACAATGTGCAACAGGATGATTTTTCGAATTTTTAAAAAAATTATGTGATTATTACAATAAGTTCAATAAATAAAATTTAGCCAGCCATATAAAACCATTTGGCATGTTGGATAAGACAGGGACATCCCATTATTTCAAAGCTTCCATTACTGGGTACCGTTGTTATCTGCAAGCATCTGGTAAAAGTTATAGTATATTTAAAGAAGAATTGTTTATCCTAGCAAAACATGAGCATTAAAAGAGTAAATTGTTCACTGAAAGGTGGATAAAATAATAATTTTCATGTATTGATAGAGAAGAATATTATATGAAGCTGAAGAAAATAAATGATAGTTCTAAATATCTAAATAGATAAAGATTACAAAGACATATTAAAGCTGATCATGTAAGAATACATACAATATTGTTTATTTATAGAAATTGTCAATACTGCCATTACTAACCAAATTTTACATACATATATACAGACACACATATATACTCATATGTAAATACTAATATATAGGAATATCCACATATGTGGTGATAATCTGAAAATATCAGATTCTCCAGTATTGAAACCACTAACATGAGGAAATTGTAAAAAAAATCAGTTTTATGGTTCCTCGCAATAAGAAATAATGGGGGAGATGTGATGCAGGAATGAGGAGAAGTGAGAGCAGAGTGGCTACATTATAAAAATATATTGAGCTTCTTGTTTGTTTTTAAAAAATGATATTGGGTTTGTAAAGATATATCAATAATGTTTTATGTCTAAGTGGATTGTTTATTTCCAAATATATATACATTTTAAATATATCTTTCTTGACTTCAGAGTGAGGAAGGGAGATGAAGAGAGAGAGAGAAACATCAATGATGAGAATCATTGATTGGCTGCCTCCTGCATGCTCCCTACTGGGGATGGAGCCGCAACCCCGGCATGTGCCCTGACCAGGAATCGAACCTGAATCGACTGGATCCTAGGTCGATGCTCAACCGTTGAGCCATGCCCGGCCAGGCTCCAAATATTTTTATTCCATTTTGATGCATGGTATTTCATAGTAAGGATAAAGAACATTTTATTCAAAAAATTTATTATCTCACAAATTTTATGTTGTTCTTTATGTTTAACAGCCAGACTGTACTCCACATAAGGATTTTTTATATTTTTGCTCCACGGAACTGGATCCAATCTGTGCAACCAATGGTCGAACTTATCCCAATACGTGCATCTTCTGCAGTGCAATGCTGTAAGAACACAAAGCTAAATACTGGCTCTTCCAAAATAATGAAGAAACCATCACAAAATGATAGGAAATCCACGTTTCTGATAGTCTACCCACAGTACATATGGAAAATAATTGTACTACCTCAGTAAATGCCCCAGAAGCACATGTGTACGTTTCCCAGAAGTTCTCATTTCTTAAAGCAGTTTTGTATTTCACCTTTCAATGTAACTCTGGTGGATATTCTGTAAATGTATAATAATTTAACTCAAATGAATCATTATGACTTACTAACAGCAGTCTATGGGCAATATATTGAATTCTGAAACCCACAAGATACCTGACAACCTCTGTGATGTGGTGTCCAGCCACAGGGAGCATAACTGAGCAAGAAACCCTCCTGACCACAGAAATTGGGAATCCATCACAGTGGCCCATCCATGCTAGCAGAGGGTGCTGCTGGGGGCCTACCTTGCCTCCTGAACTCCATGAGAGACTGCAACCTTCCTCAGAGAGCAGGGCACTCCAGGGCACTTCCACCCGGCTCCCTTCCTATACCCCGCCCTCCTAGCAGTGTGCAGGCTAAAGGCTCAGCCAGCCTTCCTACCTCCCTCCTCAGTTTTTCTCAGGGTGCTTCCTCTTATTTAACCTCCAGATTGGCTCCTCTTCTGGAGAACCACTGAAACAATCTCTACTCCTCTCCTCTCTCAAGCCCGGGTGGGTTCCAAGGCTGGATCAGGACTGAGCTTGTAGGAAGAGCCCAGCAGCCCCAGGTCAGGGGAGGAAGTGCTCAGGGCTGGGGGGCACGTGGTCCCAGCTGCTTGAGGAAGCAGAGCACAGCCTCTCCCTACTGTCCTCCTTTGGAAGCACTTAGTGCAACACCCAGGTAATTTTAAATGCTGTTCGTAATGATTTCTTTTTCTTTCTCTTTTTCTTTACAGGGATCGAAAATCTGAACCATTTGGATTTTATTCTTATGGGCGATGTCCTGCCTGAGTTACACACTCCTATGTCTTACTCCTGTCATTTTGTGACAATCCTACTTTGCAATGGATTCTATAGGCAATTAGAGTCCTTTCAATCAGGACTTTACACTCCTAAGTGGCCAGGCAAAGCCTTCTACGGTAGACAAGATGTAATATAGAAAATTTATTCCAACTCTAAGAACCTTTGATTGATTTTTATTCTCTGTTCAATTACTATATATCAGTTCAAAAGCTATGTTAATCGTGTGTTTGATAATATATACCTAATAAAATTTGCAATCATAAATATTTCAGTCAATACAGTGTTAAGTAATATTATGTTTATTAAATAGACCCCTTTTTTGTTTTTCGTTGATCAGTGGGTCAAAACACATGACTACTTTTGGTAACTATAAATAAACACTTTTAAATGTGAAAAAATAATACATTACTTTGGTGTTCATTAAATTTCCAGCCACTTGGTCGCCTCTTTACCTGAAAGAATCACAACTTCTAGAAGAGGGATATAGGACTTGAATTCTAATAAGCACCCAGGGTCAACCTCATAATCTCCAATATTAGGCAATATGGATTTGTATAATAAAACAGAGGCCATTTTTATAACTGAATGAACTGTAAGCGTATTCAAAATTTTGTATGATTTCTGAGGCTTGGGGGAAAATGACAGTATTTTCTTTGTCACTCACACATCAGTCGAGACAAAGGATGGTTTTTAGTTTATATAGTTGAGATACTAGGCCCTTATTAGATATATGACTTGCAAATGTTTTCGCTGATTTTTAGGTAGTCTTTTTTACTTTATCGAAGTGCCCTTTGTTGCAGTTTTTACAAATTTAATGAATTCCAACTTATCTATTTTTCCCTTTGTTGCTTGTACCTTTGGTGTTTGGTGGAAGAAACTGCTGCGTTATCCAAGCTCAAGAGGTTCTGTACCTCAGTTTTCTTCTAAGAGTTTCATAACATTAGGACTTGCATTTAGATCTTTGATATATTTTGAGTAAATTTTTGTGTATGATGAAATTATGGCTACAAAGTTATCCTTTTAGCATATGGCTATCCAGTTGTCATAGCACCATTTGTTGAAAAGACTATTCTTTGCCATTTAATTTTCCTGGAATTTTGTCATAAATCAATGGATTATTCAAGACAGTGTGGCACTGGTCAAAGAATAGATGAATAGATGAGTGGAACAGAATGAGGAGTCTAGGAATAGACCCATGGAAATATAGCAAACTGATCTTTGACAAAGGGGGAAAGGCAATACAGTGAGGCAAAGACAGTTTTCTGAACAAATGGTGCTGGAATAGCTGGACATCTACATGCAAAAATCCTGGACACAGACATTACACCCTTCACAAAAATGAACTCGAAAGAGATCATAGCGGAAAATATAAAATGCAAGAATATAAAACTCCTCAAAGGGAATATAGGAGAAAACCTAGGTGACCTTGAATGTGGTGATGACATTTTATATAGAAGGCTTTCTGCACTAAAGAAATAATTCATAAACTGGAATTCATTAAAATTTAAAACTTCATTTCTGTGAAAGACATTCTAAAGAGAATGAGAAAACAAGCCACATACTGGGAGAACTATTCCCCAAAATCACACCTGATAAAAGACTGTTAACCAATATACACAAAGAACTCTTAAACCCAAAATTAAGAAAACAATTAACTTGATTTTAAAAAAAAGCAAAAAAAGGTCCAATGACCTTCACAACTCATCAAAATACATAGATGGAAAATAAACATACACAAAGATTCTCTACATTATATGTCACCAGAGAAATTTAAATTTAAAATATGAGGTGCTGCTAGGTCGTACACTGGGTGAAATCAGGAACACTGACAACACGTGCTGCTGAGGATGTGGAGCCTCAAGAACTCTCATACATTGCTGGTGGGAATGTGAAATAAAACAGTCCCTTTGGAAGACAATTTGGCAGTTTCTTATAAAACTAAACATACAATTGAGGAATCCTGCCCCTTGATATTTACCCAAAAGAGTTGAAAATTTATGTACACACAAAAACCCTTTATTAATGTGGCAGCTTTATTCCTAGTTGCCAAAACTTGGAAGAAAGAAAGACATCCTTCAGTACATGAATATATAAGCAAACCCTGGTGCATGTGGACAGTGGAATATTATTCAGTGATAAAAAGTAATGAGCTTGAAGCCATGAAAAGAAATGCAGAAAACTTAAGTGCATCTTACAAATTCAAACAATCCCGATCTAAAAAGGTTATATAGTATATGATTCCAACTATATGACATCCTATGAAAGGTAAAACTGGAGATAATAAAAGTATCAGTGGTTTCCAGCAGGCAGGGGGAGAGACGTGAATGGGCACAGCTCAGAGACTTTCAGGGCAGTGAAAATACTCTATATGGTAGTACAGCGATTGTGCAGTTCATTAAACTTTGTCCATACCCATAGAATGTACCCACCAAGAGGGAACCAGAAGGCAAACTACAGACTTTGGCTGATTATGATGTGGCAACGTAGGTGTCTCCTTGGTAAACAAATTTAAAAAGTACCATTGTGGTGAGTGATGTTGATAATGCGGAAAACTGCACATGCCTGGAGCAGGAAACCTCTGTACCTTTTTCTCAATTTTCTGGTAAACCTAAGACTGCTCTATAAAATTAAGTCTTAAAATCAATTGAGCATATAAGTATGAATTTATTTTGCCTTTATTTTATTCCATTGTTGTATATGCTTATATTTATGCCAATAGCACGTTATTTTATTTTATCACTNGAAGACAATTTGGCAGTTTCTTATAAAACTAAACATACAATTGAGGAATCCTGCCCCTTGATATTTACCCAAAAGAGTTGAAAATTTATGTACACACAAAAACCCTTTATTAATGTGGCAGCTTTATTCCTAGTTGCCAAAACTTGGAAGAAAGAAAGACATCCTTCAGTACATGAATATATAAGCAAACCCTGGTGCATGTGGACAGTGGAATATTATTCAGTGATAAAAAGTAATGAGCTTGAAGCCATGAAAAGAAATGCAGAAAACTTAAGTGCATCTTACAAATTCAAACAATCCCGATCTAAAAAGGTTATATAGTATATGATTCCAACTATATGACATCCTATGAAAGGTAAAACTGGAGATAATAAAAGTATCAGTGGTTTCCAGCAGGCAGGGGGAGAGACGTGAATGGGCACAGCTCAGAGACTTTCAGGGCAGTGAAAATACTCTATATGGTAGTACAGCGATTGTGCAGTTCATTAAACTTTGTCCATACCCATAGAATGTACCCACCAAGAGGGAACCAGAAGGCAAACTACAGACTTTGGCTGATTATGATGTGGCAACGTAGGTGTCTCCTTGGTAAACAAATTTAAAAAGTACCATTGTGGTGAGTGATGTTGATAATGCGGAAAACTGCACATGCCTGGAGNTGTAGGTTTCTTATTCCTAAACAAATTTAAATAGTACATTTTCGTGAATGATGTTGAAAATGGGGAAAAATGCACATGGGTGAGGCAGGAAAACCTCTGTACATTTTTCCCAATTTGTGGTAAACCTAAGATTGCTCTAAAAAATTAAGACTTAAAATTGATTTAGCATATAAATGTGAATTTATTTTGAGTATTTTATTCCTTTGTTGTATATGCTTATCTTTGGGCGAATAGCATGCTTTTTTTTTTTTTTTTTAATCACTATAGCTCTCTAGTAGGTTCAAATCTGGATAAGTGAATCTTCAAAATTTGTTCCTTTTATTTTTTCAAGGTTACTTTGGCTACACAGGGTCTCTTCCATTTACAGGTGTGTAATATGTCTTCAAGATCCCTCTTTCAACTTTTGGAAATATACCTTGGAATGGAATTGCTGGAAATGCTGGTAATTCTGTTGTTAATTTTTTGAGTATGGCATTCTGTCCTGGTCATACCAGTTTGTGTTCCTACCAACAATCCACAAGGGTTTTAATTTCTCCACTTTCTTCTTTACAATTAGCTTCTGGTGTTTTTTATAGTAGTAATCTTTGTTAAAAATTTATTTTATTGTTGAAGTGTCCCTCATTTTCTCCTCTTTATTCCTCTCCCCATTTCCTTCCCTTCCCCAGTTCTTCCCCTGTCTATTGTCTGTGTTCATAGGCTGTGAATAAAGCTTGTTGATGGCAGCCATTCTGACAGGTATGAGGAGATACCTCAGTGTGGTTTTAACTTGCATCTCTTTGATGATTAGGGACTTTGAGCACTTATTTATACATTTGTTGGCCATCTGTATGCCCTCTTTGGAGAAGTGTCAGTTTATATCCTTTGCCCATTTTTAATGGGATTGTTTGTCTTCCTCTTGTTGAGTTGTATGAGTTCTTTGTATATTTTTGAAGTTAACCCTTTAACAGATGTGTCATTGGCAAATATGTTCTCCCAGATCATGGGTTCCTTTTGCATTTTGAGGATTGTTTCTTTTGCTGAGCAGAAGCTTTTTAGCTTGATGTAGTACTGTATGTTTATTTTTTCTTGTTTCTCTTGCCCTAGGAGATGTATTGGTGAAAATTCTGGTAAATGAGATGTCTGTGATTTTTATTGTCTATGTTTTCTTCTAGGATTTTTATGGTTTCACATCTTACATTTAAGTCTTTTATTCATTTTGAATTTATTCTTGTGTAATGGTGTAAGTTGGTGGTCTAGTTCTTTTTTTTGCATGTACCTGTCCTATTTTCCCAGCACCATTTATTGAAGAGACTGTCTTTACTCCATTGTATGCTCCTGCCTTCTTTGTCAAATGTTAATTGACCATAATGGTGTGGGTTGATTTCTGAAGTTCCTGTTCTGTTCCATTGATCTATGTGCCTATTCTTGTTTTATTACCAGGGTGTTTTGATTACAGTGGCCTTGTAGTATATTTTGATATCTGGTATTGTGATCCCTCCAGTTCTGTTCTTTCTCAAGATTCTTGCAACTACTTTGGTTTTTTCTTAGTTCCATATAAATTTTTGGAATATTTGTTCTAGTTCTGTGAAATATGCTGTTGTTAATTTAATAGGATTTGCATTGAATCTATAGATTGCTTTGGATAGTATGGACATTTTAATGATATTAATTCTTCCAATCCATGAACATGGTATATTCTTTCACTTGTTTATATCTTCCTTTATATCTTTCTCCTGTGTTCTGTAGTTTTCTGAGTATAGGTCTTTTACATCTTTCATTAAGTTTATTCCTAGGTGTCTTATTTTTTTCAGTTACAATGTTAAGTGGTATTGCTTTTTCAGTTTTTCTTTCTGAGAGTTCATTATAGGTGAAAAAATGTTGTAGATTTCTGGATGTTAACTTTGTATCCAGC